TGAATGTTTCCCCTCATTTTCAGCGAAGTACTCTATCTTTGTCACATACCCTTTTGGCAGATTAATGAGACGATCCAATGCTATCATTAGATGGAAGTCGACATCTCGAAGGTTGAGAATTAGTAGTCCTGAAAAGATACTGACGTAGATTCGCCACAGCGTTATTACATCTGGAAGGACAGGCAAGCAGAAGCCCAATCAAATATCTGGACCGATCCCCGAGGATACTACTTTCTAAATATCATGGTGGTTCATCCTGACGCTCAAGGAAGAGGAATCGGAAAGGCGCTAGCCAAGGAAATAACTAGCATTGCTGACGCAGAAGGAAAGAGATGCTATCTTGAATCTAGTCGGGATGTTCCTAACATGAAGATATACGAAACCTTCGGATTCCATTTTGAGAAGCAGATGGTTTGCGACGACGAAGGTAATACTTGCAATATCTATTGTATGGTCAGAGAACCACAAACAGACTCAAAAGGGTCCAAAAAGGATGTATGAGAATGTGCCTCTATATGTGCAAATGCTGGATGCTCCTTCTTCGTTGAATCGTTGAATCATGACGATGTGATTCACATTCGGAGAAGATGACCGTTCTCGCCTCACAAGTACGGATTAGATGAGCCTCTCTGCGTTAATGAATTGGAGAACTCCAGTTTCCCAAGACTCGGCATGGCATGGTTTGTCCAATCATCATTGTCACTTTCGGTGGTTCGGAAATCCGGTAACCTTCCCAAACCCTCCGAACAAACCGAGGATGACTGGTACAAATTCAGTAGATACCCAGACTCCAGTAGATAGTACCGGGTAGGAATGATACATACTCTACATATTTCTAGGCATCTTTTGAGTCTGGTCAGGTGCTACTCGTAGGTACGAGGGATAACGAATCATATGAAAGATAGCGCGCCGAAGAGTCTGAACTTGGTGGCGGACTCCACATGCCAAATCTTACAAACCGAATTGACATTATTCCTCGAACACCAGTGGTGATGAAAAGTACAGTCTCCATCACAGTGCCACCGAAGTACCACCTAACCAGACCCACGATTGCACACTTTCAATATACTTCGTGATATGTGCCTTTGGTGATATGTAGACAAATCCATGTCTTTTTGACCTCTTTTCTTTCCACACCGTCCTGGAAAGCATGTTTACAACTAAGATCGAGGAAGAAGACCAATTGATCAACACGCATTAGATCAAAGACGTTGCGATAAAAGTATAGCTAGGTGTGAGTGAGACTCAGTGAGTGATTCATTCTAGATTGGCTTCTCTTGGTCAATTTGCATTTGATTCCGAGGGTTTTCTGTGGGCGCATGTTAATTCATCAATCAAATCAATCCTTTGTGATGAAGCGTTGGTAGAAAGTTGAGCTTATCTTTATATCGGCTCCGGTGCGTAATTTTATCCCTGTAAATTTTAGCTTGGAATCAGAATCCTAGCTTTTATCAAAAATAAAAATTCCCTTTCAATTTGTTAATTTGATATTTCTGACTTCCACCATACTTCTCCATTACTTTCCGCATTCCCTACAATCCTCACCTCCTCCATTTCAGGAGCTCTAGGAGTATGGCGTTAGCGACAAGAATGATGAGGTTACCGACTTCAGCTGTTGGTCTCCGAACTATCGCCCAACGCTCATATGCGACATCAAATCGGGTCCTTCTCTCAAGTGCGCGACCCAATGCTAGAGTCAATGTCAACAAGACTGCAATCTCTCAAATTGCTCAACGTACTTACGCAGATGTCGCTCCTGTTACTGTCAAGAAGCCAAAGCGATTTAGATTCTTGAGATATAGTTGGCGTCTCACATATTTGTCTTTGATCGGAGGAGCCGCTTATCTGGGATATGAAGTTTGGGAACTTCGACATCCAGAGGAGCAATTCCAGCCAGATCCCACCAAGAAAAACTTGGTCATTCTTGGTATGCACAATACGTGTCTCCACTTTCCATATGGATAGCTGACATCAATTGGCTAGGTACTGGATGGGGTGCTGTGTCTCTCTTGAAGAAACTCGACACGGAAAACTACAATGTTATTGTTATCTCCCCACGAAATTACTTCCTGTTCACCCCTCTTTTGCCATCATGTACAACCGGCACCGTCGAGCACAGATCTATCATGGAGCCCATCAGAAGCATAACCAGACATAAGAAAGCTGCTGTTAAATTCTACGAAGCCGAAGCCACCAAAATCGATCCCGAGAAGAAGACTATCTCCATCAACGACAACTCTGATGTCAAAGGAGCTTCCCACACAACTGAGGTTTCATACGATATGTTGGTCGTCAGTGTTGGTGCAGAAAACGCAACTTTTGGAATTCCTGGTGTCAAAGAGCATTCTTGCTTCTTAAAGGAGATCGGTGACGCACAAGCAATCAGAAAGAAGATTATGGACTGTGTAGAGACTGCTACTTTCAAGGATCAGTCTCCAGAGGAAGTTGAACGTCTTTTGCACATGGTTGTCGTTGGTGGTGGACCTACTGGTGTTGAATTCGCTGGTGAGCTTCAAGATTTCTTCGATCAAGATATTAAGAAGTGGGTTCCAGAAATTAGCGACAAGTTCAAGGTTACTCTCATCGAAGCTCTTCCAAATGTTCTTCCTATGTTCTCCAAGCAATTGATCGAATATACCGAATCAACTTTCAAGGAGGAGAAAATTACCATCAAGACCAAGACCGCCGTCAAGAAGGTCACTGATAAGACCGTCGAAGCCGAGGCCACTGGACCAGATGGAAAGAAGTTCACTGAGGTTATGCCTTACGGTCTCCTTGTTTGGGCCACCGGAAACGCCGTCCGTCCTGTTGTCAAGGACCTCATGGCACAAATTCCTGCCCAAAAAGACTCGAGGAGAGGTCTCGCCGTGAACGAATATCTCGTTGTTCAAGGAACCAAGGATATTTGGGCCACTGGTGATTGCGCAGTTGCAGGATATGCACCAACAGCTCAAGTGGCATCGCAAGAGGGAGCTTTCTTAGCCCGTCTCTTTAACACCATGGCAAAGACCGATACCATCGAACATGAAATCCAGGAGTTGAGTTCATCCTTGAACCTTGGTCCTGGAAATGCCGCCCAAGTTGCCAAGGATATTGAAGCGCATGAGAAGCAATTGAGAAGAATCAAGGATATCAAGCCGTTCCACTACACACATCAAGGTTCCTTGGCATACATTGGTAGCGAAAGAGCCGTTGCAGATGTTAGCTGGTTAAATGGTAACTTTGCTACCGGTGGTAATTTGACATATTTGTTCTGGAGAAGTGCATACTTGAGCATGTGTTTCAGCAGTAAGTTTCACCAAACTCTCAACTCCCGTTCATTTCAACTAACATGAATTTAGCGCGCAATCGTGTTTTAGTGGTTCTCGATTGGCTCAAGTCTAAGACTTTCGGCCGTGATGTTTCTAGAGAATAGATGATTAGAGGGAGGGGATAAAAAAATGGGTGGGCTGGTCGGGATAGATGGGAATGGGGAGCGCGTGTAACAAATAACGAATTTTCGGGATAGACTGGTTTTGGTTCCTTCTTGAACTTTGCTTTGGTGTTTTTTTATAGAATCTCCGGCTCGAGCTCGTGGAGAGTCGTTCGGGGAGTTCGAGGGCGCTGCTATAGTATACTTTGAGGATTGAATGAATATGATCATTTTTTTCCCTTTCTTATATGTGGTTTCAATATTTGGGAGTGTGATGTGCTTGATAGGTGACATCGGTATAGTATATATTTCTATATAGATGCTGGTTTCTGTTAAAAGCAAACATTGTCCCATTACCCCCTTTTTAGCCATAACTTAATCCTTCCCTTCTAATAAAGAATGCCCAAGCAATTCTCGTGCACAGTGCCATAGCCCCCATCGGTATTACAAGTGCCTAGTAGATTAACTGTACCGAGTAGTTTGCCCCTCCCATCACCCTCTAAAATAAGCGCGCGGGTCATAGAGGAAGCAAACTACATACGTACATCGGGTGTTCCACTCTTCTCCTGTTCTTCTACTGTCTGGTCGATCCCTCAATCGTAAAAAGAAGCTAGATAAAATTGATAGCTCCTCTTTCGCCACTGCACTGGAATTCCTACCCTTCAACTCTCTATCAGTGTGAAATGCTTGTTGAATTAATCGTAAAGAAAATCCCATTCACTCGTGCAAGGAAGAAAGGGTATTGATATGACCACTGACTTCCTCAATCCCTTAGTCCCTCGGAAACATCGCCAACGTGTAGTTATTCTGAAATCACCAAATATAGATATCCCCTCAAGTCATGCAGACAAATCTATACATGCAATAGGTGTTCTAGAACTTTCCAGAACTTATGAGCCATAAATAGATCTTTCTCGCCTTTGAAGTTATACAAGAGGCGTGGGTGCCATCATATATTTGTCTTATATGTAGTACTGAGGGGGGGAGTTTGCGTTCCTCTTTAGTGAACCATCGGATCGGATTTGCAGGCTTGCTGTTGGTCCTACAGGTGTTGCCGATGAACTCAAATGGGAATACATGGGAGGACTAATGAACTCTGAAAGTTTCAGAAATTGAAGTTAGGATTCAAAACCTATTGATGTATGTTTGACATATTGAGGAATACTGATGTAGAATGATCTTTCCTTTCGTGAGTCGGGTCCATGGGTGTTGGGTGTAGGTTTTGAACTTCATATCTCCTGATAACCTAGAGTTATTTGTAGTTGTCGGGTTATAGGTAAAGATAGGTAGGTATTGAGTAGTTAGTGAAATCAATGATAGTAAATGTATGAAGCACAGTCTATGATATACCTAATACAATCAATTCAGCATCAATTTTGTATCAATCAATCAATCAATCAATCAACCAATCCATACAAGGAATTCCATGACATTCTTTGCCATGCGAGGCTGACTTATGAATTGTATTATTGATACAATATTTCTGTACTCTCCCGTACCAGGCGTTGAATTATATGCGTGGCCTTCTCGTTGCCTACGTTATCGATTATTCACCCATTTTTATTTTCCTTTACCCCAACCAGTAAGTCGCCTTATAAACCAATTTACTACGTTCACTGAGCTGTGCTTATAAGCGGAAGAACCCAATAGAAAGATTCAAAAAGCTCAACCTACCAGATTTAGTGCGGTTCCGTCATATTCTAAGGACGCTACCTTAACTAATACAGCCATCTATCTTAGAGCTGTCTTGATCTCCAACACAACCTCTTCTTTCCATAAATTCTTACCAAAACATCCATTCTTCCGGAAAGTTCAATCTATCTTTCATCCACCTCTTCTTTCTTACTTTGATAAAGTTACTTTCAATATTGAACTCTATCACCATTTGAAAGGACAATCTACAAACATATCGGAATATTCGTTACGACTGTCAAGGTCAACTTTATCAAAATGTCTGCTGAACCCGACCACGTCGAGCACAAGAAGAAGGTCAATCTCAAGTCAGTATATCTCCATCTGCCAGTTAGTTGCCTGGAGGAAACACAACACTAACATCTCTGCTAGTGATGCATCTGGTGCTGAGCACAAAGCCGTAAGTTGATCCACCAACCACCACTACATGACGATAACAAAATCGAAATCAAAAACTAACTGAAGCTTCAAATTATAGAATGATGACACTGCAACCGCTATCTTAAAGAAGAAGAAGAAGCCAAACTCGTTGATGTGAGTATTTCCAGCAAACACCCCACTTCGACCGAAGATCTGAACTGACAGGCGGTGGCAACAGGGTTACTGATGCTATCAACGATGATAACTCTGTTATTGCTCTCTCCAACAATACTATGGAAACTTTACAATTGTTCCGTGGAGATACCGTTTTAGTCAAGGGAAAGAAGCGCAAGGACACTGTTCTCATTGTTCTTGCTGATGATGATCTCGATGATGGAAGCGCACGTATGAACCGTGTTGTTAGACACAACCTCCGTGTTAAGCACGGTGACGTTATTACCGTTCACCCATGTCCGGATATCAAATATGTGAGTATTCAAGAGTCTGCGGACATCTCCGAGATGCTAATATGTCAATAGGCCAAGCGCATTGCAGTCCTCCCTATCGCTGACACTGTCGAAGGTCTCACCGGATCTTTATTTGATGTTTTCTTAGCACCATATTTCCGCGAAGCCTACAGACCTGTACGACAAGGCGATCTTTTCACAGTTCGTGGTGGTATGAGACAAGTTGAATTCAAGGTTGTTGAAGTCGACCCTCCCGAGTACGGAATCGTAGCCCAAGATACAGTCATCCACTGCGAAGGAGAGCCCATTCAGCGTGAAGACGAAGAAGGCAATTTGAACGAGGTCGGATACGACGACATTGGAGGATGCAGAAAGCAAATGGCACAGATCAGAGAGATGGTTGAGTTGCCATTAAGACATCCCCAATTATTTAAGTCTATCGGTATCAAGCCTCCTCGTGGTGTTCTTATGTTTGGTCCACCAGGTACTGGTAAGACACTCATGGCCAGAGCCGTTGCAAACGAGACCGGTGCTTTCTTCTTCTTGATCAACGGACCCGAGATTATGTCAAAGATGGCCGGTGAATCCGAATCGAATTTACGCAAGGCTTTCGAAGAGGCTGAGAAGAACTCGCCTGCGATCATCTTCATCGACGAGATCGACTCTATTGCACCAAAGCGTGACAAGACCAACGGAGAAGTCGAACGTCGTGTTGTCTCTCAATTGCTTACCCTCATGGACGGCATGAAGGCTAGATCCAACGTTGTTGTCATGGCCGCCACAAATAGACCTAACTCCATCGATCCTGCTCTCCGTCGTTTCGGTCGTTTCGATCGTGAAGTCGACATTGGTATCCCTGATCCAACTGGTCGTCTTGAAATTCTACAAATCCACACCAAGAACATGAAGTTGGGTGATGATGTTGATCTCGAGCAAATCGCCTCGGAGACTCACGGTTATGTTGGTTCTGATGTTGCCTCCCTCTGCTCCGAAGCTGCCATGCAGCAAATTCGTGAAAAGATGGATCTTATTGATCTTGATGAAGATACTATCGACGCCGAGGTTCTCGACTCCCTTGGTGTTACCATGGACAACTTCCGTTTCGCCCTTGGTGTTTCCAACCCATCTGCTCTTCGCGAAGTTGCAGTTGTCGAAGTTCCAAACGTTCGCTGGGACGATATCGGAGGATTGGAAGAGGTCAAGCGCGAGCTCATCGAGAGCGTGCAATACCCCGTCGATCACCCAGAAAAGTTCCTCAAGTTCGGTCTTTCTCCATCTCGTGGTGTCTTGTTTTACGGTCCTCCTGGTACTGGTAAGACCTTGCTCGCCAAGGCTGTTGCCAACGAGTGTTCCGCCAACTTCATTTCCGTCAAGGGTCCAGAATTGCTGAGTATGTGGTTCGGTGAATCTGAGTCTAACATCAGAGATATTTTCGACAAGGCTCGTGCTGCCGCACCTTGTGTTGTTTTCCTTGATGAGCTTGATTCTATCGCCAAGTCTCGTGGTGGGTCTAACGGCGATGCTGGTGGCGCTTCTGACCGTGTCGTCAACCAACTTTTGACTGGTAAGTTTATTCTTGTTTTTAGCATGTGTGATTGGAAGCTAATCTTTACATAGAAATGGATGGTATGACCTCGAAAAAGAACGTTTTCGTCATTGGTGCTACCAACAGACCTGAGCAACTTGACAACGCTCTTTGCAGACCTGGTCGTCTTGACACCCTTGTCTACGTTCCACTTCCTAACGAGAGTTCTCGTGCTGGTATCTTGAAGGCACAACTCAGAAAGACCCCAGTCGCTGATGATGTTGATCTCAGTTACATTGCATCCCGTACTCACGGTTTCTCTGGTGCTGATTTGGGATTCATCACCCAGCGTGCCGTCAAGCTCGCCATCAAGGAATCTATTTCTTTGGACATCGAACGCCGCAAGGCTCTCGAGGCCGCTGGTGGTGATGTTGACATGGAGGAAGAGGATGTTGAGGACCCAGTTCCAAAATTGACCAAGGCTCATTTCGAAGAGGCCATGTCGCAAGCCAGACGATCCGTTTCTGACGTTGAAATCCGCCGATATGAGGCATTCGCTCAGAGCATGAAGAGCTCCGGGCCTGGAGCTTTCTTCAAGTTCCCGGAAGCTGGTGAGGCCGCCGAGGCTAACGGAGGAGGTGCTGGTGGATTTGGTGATGCTGGCAACGACGACAGTCTTTACGACTAAATTTGTACTCTTAATACCATATTTTAACGTCATTTTACAGCATACATGAGGAGCTAACGATTGGGAGGGCATTTAGCCCGGTGGGCTTTGACGTAGAGTCTAGAGATTTCTACAGAGCAAAGTTGCATTCATGACCCCTAAAATTCATTGTTTGAAGGGTTGGGAGAGAGGTATGGAGAGTTTCATTCATGGCGATATGTGGCCAAGGTGGTGCCATTAGCATAGAATACCTTATAAAAACATATTTTGTTACAACTTGATCTTGCATGCACATTGAGTGAATTGATTGGTATAAGATATGATGATCTGTAAAGGCGTGTTGACATAAAATCTTAGTCCTGAAAACGTCGATTGGGTATGTATAGAGCCTCGACTATTCTACATGATATTCGTCCATGATTCTCTTGTGCAATAAATTTAACGTATACGCCCAGAACATTCCCGGCCTTGTAATCCCTCATCAATCCCAAATCCCAACTGTTCTTTTAAACTCCTAGTATACTCCATAGGTAGTTCACCCATCGCTTAGAATGAAGTAATCACTGCACACCCACTGCCCATACACTCGTTCCTTGCCTCTGCTTTGACTGTGTCGTGATATCTTGATAAATGATGTAAATAATAGAGGTGGATCTGGGAGAGTTTTTTTGGAAGTCGATTCCGATTTTGTCCATACATCCATATCGAATCCACCAATTCCTTTCCTTAGATGTCTGTGTTTATATCGAGAGGGCCCCAGAACAAAGGCAGGTTGCTGCCAGTGATATGTACCCTTCCCCGCTTCTTCGTCTCCTCTTTACGCCAATGCTGATTCCTCATCGCTCCTCCTTACTCAACTCCCAGAAATGCAACGACCCCCCAGACGTTTGGGGGTTCACTCCACAACCTCACAGACAAGCTCTAATGACTCCCTCGTGATCCTTACTCCTTCGTCCACGACACTTTTCGGCAACGCGAGACTTTGTCCCCTCTCGCCTCTCCCTTTAGGCGCGGCGTCTTTTTCTTTTGCTTCCTTTTCCTTCTTGTCTGAAGATCCGTTGGTGGAGGGATGAGGGGATGAGTTGGAGGGATCGGACGACGAGAGTGCAAGTGTATCGGCGCGGATATCTTCAAGCACTTTGGCGATCAGCAGCGGGAATGTAGTGTAGTGTCCTGAACGCAGGAGGGAAAGCGCGTGATTCTGGATAAGGGTTGGCCAGTTTGTGGGAGAGGAGTGGAGGGAGTGAAGGAGCGTTTCTTGGATTCTGTGGAGGAGAGAGATTAGTTGGGTTGTGGATTGGAAGGAGAATGGGGGAGGGCAGAGACGTACTTGGCAACATGGCCATCCTTTAATAATATGGAATTTATCTGCGAGCGCAAATCTGCATCTTGGGTTGTGGGTGTGTAGTTCGCGGCGCTTTTTGAGACGCGCACAGGTGTGGTGGGTTCGGAGGCCATTGTGATGGGGTGTGTAGATTTGGGGTTGGATAGATGGGATTTGCTATGGTGTGCTTGAACATATAGGGACGGGGCGATAGGAGGAGGAGTTGTGGGAGATTTGGGTTAAGATGGTATGAGGAGATAATTGATAGTGTAGAATGCGAGAGGAAACTTGGGGTATGGGATTCCAAAGAAGAATGGAAATTTGGGTAGATATTGGACTTGGGCTGTGGAATTGATGGCTTGTTATATATTTTCTGGGACCTCGTCGGCGAGGCTGGATTGAAGGCTGAATTTACTTGTGTGTTGGACCAATGAGGTAATCGGATGGGAATTTGGTGATGATGTGGGGTAGGATTAGTATTTTGATAGAGACAGTTCGGTAAACGAGGGGTTTGCTTTCATAATCAGATTTGCAAATTGCTTTTCTTTCTCAATGATTCTCTCATATTATTCTATTTTCATTTCCATTGGAATTATGTACACCTCAAAATTCTAATCATGGCTTTCACTTCTGTTGTCTAACTTCAATCCGGACATTCTTATATATATACATCAATAGCTGAATCAGCCTCAGCTCCAGGAATACGTTCTATATGGGCGAAGCGTATTATTATCATCACACCCATGAACCATTTCCTCATCCAATGAATCGCCATACTATTTTCACACTCTATCATAAAGTGAAACCTTGAAACCCTTTCACAAGTTTCATAGGCAAACAACCACACAATGTCTATCCCATTCCCATCTCTTTTCAAACGCTTTGCTTCAATCCATTGCAATCCATTGGACGAGAAGATGACTGTGCCTAGACGATGAGAATGGGCGCTTCATCCAATGCCATGTTGAACACGGGAAATTCTTGTAAGCCATGGCATTCCTGTATGGAAAGACTGGATTCAGATACTCGCAAGGTCGAATCAATGATGTAGGTTTCCTTTCTTGACCTATTGCCTTTCTCCGGAGTGTTTGATCAGCTTGCTCCTTGGATCGTCTTCTTCCCGTTGATTGTATTACTCCTTCATGTACTTTGACCTTCTTATATATTCCCTTCCTCTGTTTCCTCACCGTTTGTTTCTTCTCTAGAAACAGCTTTTCTTAGTGTATCTCTTTTCTCTTTTCGCGAACCTGTCATGATGCACCCAGCATTCATTATGCACTATGCCGTTGCCACTTCATATCAAATGAACAGCTCATCGCTATAACGGAACGGGGACCAAACACTAGAATATCGGAATTTCATTTTCCCCCTTTCCTCTCAAGAACTGCGTCATCAGTTGGCAGGTACCGTTCTGGCACGAACTATCTTTTCAAATAGCATCATTATTTTTTCAAAATCGTAAAACTCAACGCCCGGTTGGGTTGTATCAGACAAAGTACGTCGCGAAAGCAAGGCTCTTGTGGTGTGTTGATTCGGATTATCCAGTACAAACGAAGGATCTCAAACTTGACGAGTTTCAACACCTAGCAAACTATTTCAACTCCCGTCAACACGAACTGCCTGGAGAGCATTGTTCTGATCATTCTTACGATACAATAATTGGATATATCATCCAACTCAAGATTTCCACTAGGACGGTGATCCAGGTTTGGGATACATTCAAACTTTTTTTCTTTGCAAGACCTGAAGGTCTGCAGAGATATCACCAATCAATTCAAGATGAGGCGGCATGTTTTAACGACCATTACTTTCTTATTTTATATTCTACGTCTTACGAACGCCTTGTCACTTGCAAACTTCCAATTGGTCTCACCAACTGCAGTTTCGTTGGGTTGTTTTGTGGAATATAATACTTTGATCAAAGATTGCAAATTATCAGACTTCAACGATGGGTGTTCTCTCGATTGCCAATCATCCTTAACTTCAAAAGCTACATGTGTTGGTGATGCTTGTTCGAAAGATAATGTAGGACCCAATACATTATTAGGAATCGTCAAAGGTGGTGGAATCATCGCAGCTTTATGTCCGAATATCAAAAGTTCTACTACGAAATCAACATCAACTTCGACTACTATAACGGAGACGAAAACTTCGAGTACAAGTGTGAGTACTACATCGTCGAGTTCGCAATCGACTTCAACTCCAACTTCAACTCCAACCCCAACTTCGACTTTAACTTTGACTTCGACGTCATCCGAAAGCTCTAGTTTTACTGCTGCTACAACGACATTTTCTGCGATTCCTACGATGACCCAATCTACGACTAGGCAGATTTCGAGTTCCTCTCAAACTTCGAATACTCCAACATTATCATCACCATCTACTTCCTCAAAATCCACAACATCGGATTCTTCAGAATCAACCTCTACTTCTTCCAATACGAATACGATCACAGACACAAGCACCAGCACAACGCTGGCCACGACCCAAACACAATCTTCTACATCCGCATCTACAAAAACCACAGAAACAACATCAAAATCAACGACAACAACCGCAGCATCGAAAAATGGAAATGGGAATGGGGTTAGTGGGGGCGGAAGCCCTTTTGATATCGATGCGAATAGTGGTAGTTTGCCAACCGATTTTGGTAAAATATCACAAAGATGGATCGCGGGCGTGGTGTTGATTTATGGGGGATTGGGTGTATGGTTTCTTATTTGAGATGTGGGAGATTAGAATATATGTAGATTATGGGGATTGGGTTGGAAACGATAATGTTTATAAGAATTCTTAGCGTTTTTGTTTTGTTTGTGTTTTGTACGATTAGAGGTCCCGGGATCCGACAGGTCAGATCATCATGCCATTTGGATTGAGAAATGATTTAGAAAGAGATGGAGAGAGGCATGGCATGGCATGGCTGGCGCGATATGTATATTATTTAATGACTTTATGAACAAATTTGAGAGATGGTGAGGGAGGTGGGTATGGGTATGGGTATGGGATATAGAGGATGGATTATATGGATACATGGGTTGAGGTTTGGATACTTGAATTTGATGCTGGATAGCATGGGATGAGACTGAATGGTTTCATACAACAGAAACAGAGATAGGTTATGAAATGCAAGTAAGCAAGTAAGCAATAACTAAATTAAATGCAGACATTGTCTTTACACCGAACTTCCCAGAGCAAGATGAAAGAATCTCGGTAAGTCCCCGCGCGCTGGCTACACACACGCTGTGAGCGAGCGAGTGAGTGGCAGCATTTCTACATACACACTTCATTTCCATTCTGCTGATGTATCTTTTCCTGTTCGGCAAAGCTCTCGTTTCTCTTTAAATAGTTACTCGTATCGTGAACTCGGAAAGTGTATATGTCTACATGAATTTTCTGAGCTGGAGATACTAACACTTTTATATATACACACACATATATATAAATAGAGATATAAATAGAGATATAGATAAAAACATAAATAAAAACATAAATAAAAACATAAATAAAAACATATACCTCATACCCTACAAATCAAACCCCGACTATTCTAAAATCTATAATGAATCTCTAGGATTGTTTGAATATCAGAATAGTATCTATTTTGAGTACGAATAAATGAATGAATAAATGAATGAAAATAAATAGAGACTTACTACTTAATGTTTAGTATTTAGTATTTAGTATTTAGTATGTAGTATGTAGTATGTAGTATGTAGTATGTAGTATGTAGTATGTAGTATGTAGTATGTAGTATGTAGTATGTAGTATGTAGTATTTAGTATTTAGTATTTAGTATGTCGTACTTAGTATTACTTGACATCTTGTGAATAGGTAATAAATACTAACTGATTAGGGTTGAGGTTCAAAAGGAGATGAAGATGGAAATGAGGATGAGGATGAGAAAGAAGCGGAGATAGGAAGGAGGATGAGTGTAAATTGGAGAGTGTGTGATTATATATATGTACGAATGCAAGGAGACCAGACCACACACCATGTACGGACTCTGAAGGCGGTTGATAGTTTATAGTTTCTACATAGTTAATAGTTGGTAGAGGGCCAGGAAGCTTTATGTGTGGAGGGTAAGGAAGGGGGTGACGAGAAAGAAGGATAGGGGTAGGAATTGGAATTTTGAGAATTTTGGTTAGTTAGTTTTTTGGGTTGGTTTGGTTTGATTCACAGTTCACAGTCCAAGGTTCAAATATGGGTGAGTGAGGAAGTAAGAGAAGAATGATGAGAAGTTATAAATAAATGGTACAGCAGAATAAACTATACGTTATACGGAGGAAAGTCATAGTTATAGTTTCGTGTATTCATGCTACCTATCGACATCCACCCATCCTCTTTCATCCATCTATAAATATTCTACAAAAGATAAAAAATAAAAGACGAAAAAAACCAAAGATAGATATCAATCGATATTTGATCCATCTATCCCTCCATCCCTCCATGCATGAATACATCCACACACAAACATGTGTAACTCCCCTTCCAAATTTCAAAAATCGCCAAATTCAACCGCAAGTGTGAGAATAATGCAATAAGTACCTAATACCCAGTACCTAGACAAATCTCCCAATAAAAGTAATCTGAACCTTTTTCCTCAACTCCAAAAATATGCCAGATATCTCATCAACAACGACAACAACGACAATGACAACAAACTCATTCACAGTTTTCTCTCTTCACCCCTTCATCCCAATCCCATACACATAAGCAACCCTCCTCTTCCCAACCCCCACAATCACACCTCCCCTAAAAGAAAACACTCCTCTTCTTCTGCACCTTCGCCATCTTCTTACCACCAAAAAATCCGCTCGAGCTAGCCGTCCCACTCCCCGGCGCTTGCAAATACGGACTATTAATCTGGGCTTGCGGTCTCGCCTGGGACGATGAAGGAGAACCAGCCCCAGCAAATCCACTCCCCATCCCCATCGCATGGCCCGCCGGACCCGGGTCGGTACTCATCGGTCTCGCGGGCATGGGCGCACTATAAGGCGCACTATACGGCGTTGTAATCGTCGGTCTTTGCGGCATCTGCTGCGGCGCAAACTGAGTTCTCTGACCCGGATTCGCATTCGCATTCCCATTCTCATTCACAGGCATCACACCATACTGTTTCCTTAGACGTTCCGTCTCTTTTGCAATCTCAGCATCTCTTCTCTGCTGTTCCTTTTCTTCCTGCTCCAACATCTTCTTAATGCGCTTCTCTTCTTCAAATTCCATGCGTTGACGTTCCCGCTCCTCGGCTTCCACCAACGCTTTGAGACGCGCGGTTTCAGCGTCAATTCCCCACTGCGTGCGTGCGTTTACTGTTGGCGAGGGCGAGGGACCCGTTGGAAGCGGATGCGAAGTTCGACGGAGCGGAAGACCGGGCATGATTCCTCCAGACATCACGGGAGACATAGAAGGCCTACCATTTTCTCGAATGATAGAACCGCTATTGTTGCGTTTGCTCGACGCCCCCGGAGTTTCATTGGGTGAACTGATATTAAACATTTCGCGACTGGCATTGAAGAATATATCCTTGATCACTGCAGCCGATAATAAGAGTATGACTTCCAGACCCTTGAAATCTTCAACTTCAACTCGATGCATATTAGGTTGATAGATAGTGAGATCTTTACCCCCTTTAAACATAGCCACTGGGATATCCGGCTCCTTATTCTTTTTCCCTTCGGCCGTCTTTCCGGATAGGAAACACGACAAATCCTTCGAGAACTTCCCATCTTTCTTCCACTTAAACGCCACTTTCGGTGTGAGCACCGAAAATGCAGGATCGCTCTGACTACGATCGAGGGCTGACGCCGACGGGGCGCGGAAACTGATCTGAGGCATCTCGAATTCCCAATACGCCGAACTATTCCACGAGCCCGGGATTTGCTTCACCAACACTTGCTGATCCGGATTGTATAATTCGATTGTGAAACTATTTGGCACGATTGGGACGGGCGGGGGCGGAATGCCATTTTGCGCTCGAACTTCGGCCTGGGAAAGCGTGGGTTGCGTCCATTCGGGCTGGACCAATACTTCAGCGTAGAGAACGTCGGGATTGCAGGAATCGTAGAGAGCGACGGCGTAGCAATTTTTCGAGGCGGGCAGATTGGTATCGGGTCTGCGGAAGATGTATTCAGGTTGCAGATCGGAGCCATCTTGACGGAGGAAGATGGGAGTGGAGAGAGGGGTATCGGTCGAAGCTTTGAAGAAGAAGGTGGGGAGGTTTTCGTCAAGCATGATGATGTGATGGAGTTGAGAGGGGCAGCTACAGGATGCGTGTGGTTGGTCTTTCAAGGCTTTTCAAATCGTGCAGAAGCAAATATAAAGGGACGAGGTGTTAGGTGTTTCTTGATTATCACTCTGAACAGAACACAATTGTTAGTAGTAGTAGGTAGCTAGGTAAATACGATGGATCTCGGCACCATTGCCAATACGATTCGTATAAAGTTAATATGCGAATGATATACTCGTACCTATAACCTTTTTAATAACATTTCAACTCAAGTGCCCAAGGTGGATATCCATTACCCTTTCCGCAGGGCTGTGAAGTATCTGAAGTGCCCGTAGATGAGGCTGAGCCCGGAAGGCTCACATGCATTCACCACGCGTAAACCATTGTACGGAGTAAAGAAGATGTCTTGGAATATTCCTTGATGAATCAGATCTGCAAACAATTCTCTGCTTCATCAACGTTTATTGGTTCGATTAGGTTTCGGCATCGTTATCCCCAAAGCCAATTTCTATTTTTACATCGTTGATCCTTTAGTATTGTAGTCCATTTGCTTATATAAGCTGCTTTCTATATATCATTAGTATCGTCACCAGGGAGTTGAGCATGCTAATTCGCTACCTCGAAGTTTGGTCCTCCATGATGTTATACTCAGGTTACGTACTTTTCTACCCGAGGGAGGCTTCGCATACTAATTAGTATCTAGCAGTTCCGATAGTAATCTAGATAGGCTTTCTCCACGTATTATACGAGAAGTTTTCCAGATGTTTATCAAGTGCTTCAATGCTGACTACCTGCTAGACAGGATACCTAGATCAAGTAGTCGAATATTAATCCCTACTAATCAACATGAAACCTAACTAAAAAACTCAAGTCAAGACAGAAAAGTCGTCAATTGATAATTCTCTGTACATCTCTGTAGATTTCGGCCGGATATCCAATAAATCTCCTTTAATTTGAATGGCTTCCTAATCCCTAGTGTTCCTTTTCCACGCAAGCCGACCCAGCCCCTCTCAGCTTTACCTAAGGAAATTGTCCCAAGGTTGACTTGTCCCTATCGGCTACCCGTATGTCCCAACCACGAGTTTCATCCAAGAACTCCCTTCCACAGTCAAATTCGACCAAAAAACCGAGTGTTCAACCATTCATCTCATGATACGCCTCATATAAAAAAATATGACTAAAAGATACTAAAACAGCTAGCTTGCCGAAAAAATAATAAACTGTATTGACCCTGAATTGTAATTTCCAAAATTCCGTTTCCAATACACATACACTATCCCAGAAAATTGGTGATATCGCCTACTTTCGCTATGCAGTGTAAAACAGTGCAGCAACTCCAAGAAATAATGTCCAATCCAAATATTCGACTAGATCATATAATGCCGCCAGGAGGGTCGTATATGGAATTGTTTCCACCGCGACCACCATTTCTACCGTCCAGACCTGCGCTTCCAGGAACATCTTGTATTCCAGGTTCCGTATTGGGGCTGATTTTTCT